TATCTTGGGCTGTTTTTATTCTCATGTTTGTGGGAATGCGCGGCCTCTGATGGATACTGCAGATGCAGCCGAGTTGCTCTTGAGTTCTGGCCCTCGTCATCATCTTCTGTTCTTATTTTGTAGCACCTCCAATGTTATCCGCATCAGGAAATTGCGTTTTACTTGTATTTGAAAGCGCAATTAAAGGACTTGGCAAAGTGCCAAGGAGCCGCACGCGACACGCGCGCTTGCAACGGATGTTATGAACGGCGGGAATCTGCGCCGTAAAAAGGCAGTGGGCGGAGCATGGAAGAATTAGCGTGTTTCACGGCCCTGTATCTCCATTCCTGGGCATGTTTGGGCGGGGGGACCACGACACATCGACATCTGGGGGGCTGATAGTCTCATACACCCTCAATGTGTATGAGCGTACCATGTGTCTTTAAGCAGTGACATAGTTCCGAGCAGCAGCGAACACATTCATTGGAGAACCGGGATTGCTACGGTTGCAGTTTTTTATTACAACACACGGCGAGATTCCATAGTTATTATTCTTTGGCGGCAGTCCAGGTAAAAGATTGAACTTCAGAGACTCCTGAGTTTGTTTTCAATACCATTTTTATTTCAGAAGGCGTGTGAGCTGGGTCGGCGCAGCATTGTTGCAGACGGAATGCCCTTGCTGCATTCCGTCTCCCAATCGCTCGGATATCAGGCACTGCCCTATTGCATGCACGGTGTCTGCTCAGAAGTGTCCTTCAGAGGAAGAGCCCTTCTGTATTGCATCACAGAGAAGAAAGAAGAGGGAAGGTGTGTCCGGTTCTGGAATTCCGGGGCCATCCGCGTTTCCCTGAGACAGTGGTCAAAAATAGCAGTTTACAATACCTTTCCGCTCAGTCATGAGGTGACGAATGGAACGTGGCTAGATGAGTTCCTTCTAAGCACTACTGTAAGTAAGCTGTTGCCACACTTCGTGCGAATAAGGTTTTCTACGAAGTAAACAACAACGTTGTATGGTTCTGCCCATGTTTTGTTCAGAAATGCTTCTACTCGACTCAGTAAGTGCGTTTACGAGCTGATAACGCTCTTGCGGGTCCGTCATTCACGTAACATCTCCGACTTTTCTTGCTTTTTCACAAAAAGTTGATTACGTAGGTGGACACCACTCGTCTCATTCGTCCTGTATATGACCCCATTCTCTTGGGTCATGGAATCTCCAACACAGTAATCTTGAATTAGAACCGCCAACGAGCATTTTGTTAGTTGATCTGCGTATACTTGCAATATGGCATGGAAAAGTTAATCTAAGTCGCGCTGACAATGATTGGCCCATTTTTCCAACTAACTAAAATAATCACGGTAATCCCTGGTTTTCAAAGTCTTATCGTGCCATTGGTGCTGATCTTTTGGCTATTTATGATCGATATGGGTTCCATTTGAGCAAATTTGTGGGCTCAAGAAACATGGACGGTTAACAAGTCCTTCAATACTGATACCAGTAAAAGTTTGGAGGACCTAGTTGTCACTAGTAAAGCGATGGGCAGGACAGTGGAAACCAGTGAGGGTGCAGAATGCGTCCCCCCCCCCAAAGTGCGCGAAAACGTTTTTCACGTTTTCGGTAGCTTCCAGACTCCTACAGTTCGTATTTTAACACGCTCATTTTTCAGCGAGTTTAAGTTTCGGATTCTGAGTGAGAGGCTTGGAATTTGAACTGCTTCCCTATCAAACCGACGGTTCATTAAAAAAGTTTCATTAATTACGAAAACCTTCCCCTTCTCAAGGGACGTTCGAAGCTTGATGTACTAGAATGAACTACTAGCAATCCTTTGCAGCAAGTTGCCGATACAAGCTTCGTTCTTAATTGAAAACCACTTCGATAGTATTCAGTGTATTATTAGAGCCCGTTTTTTTCAATGTTCCATGATTCCGTCGTTTTTTTCGAAGTTTGTCCGGACCGACATGTTCTTGATTTAGACCAACACACTTGATCTTCAGTTGACAATGGATGATATGATTAGCGACTTCTGTCGGATGTCCGTTCACTACGCTCGCACAGGATACTATTATCTCCGAGAGAATTTAATCAATTTACATAAAACTCTCATTAAACCTCGCATTGAGGAAGTCTAACTCGCGACGACCGGCAGAGATGGGCTGCTTACAGAGAAAGCCGTATATGCACATAATACACAGTAGTATTTTGTTTTATGCAAAAAGTGTTTTTTTGTTTTTTTTTCGGTTCTTGCAAACTTTATTCTTATTATTGTTCTGCAACCATGTAATATTATCTTTTATAACGCAGGATTTGAGGCTATTACTAATTGTCCTACGCACTAATCTGGGGGTAAATATATCTTCGAAAAACGCAAGACGCTGGATGGTGCCTAAAAGTGAATTGGTTGTGGCCGAGTGCAGACGTCTTTGACTTGGAAGATTGCGTGGGATTTTATCACCTTCCATGATTGGTGATTTAGTAACTCCCCACCGCAGCAACAAATGTGTTCTCACTTCTGGCACTCTGTCTCTTGTCTTTCCACACCGGACAGACTTCTCAAAATCTCATGGAAATACACCAAGAAATGCCTTTGGTATCAAGAAAACTAAATATCAAAAGCGGATGTCGAACTTGGTTTCTATGAGCATTTATCTTTCGACACTTTTTTCATTGGTTACTTTACCGTAGTCTCTGAAAAAGCAGCTAACCCTTCGTGTACCATTCTGGCTACCGTTTCAGGAGCTAATCTTGTTACGGGTTTTACGATTTTAGGAAAATGCAATCTCATCTCGAAGTGACTCAAGGTTTCTAGCATTTTTCCTTTTTCCTGGTAGTAAGCTCGAACAGTATTTTACAGTATTTTTTCACGGTAAATGCACTTGTCGTGGACAGCAAATTCCCCTCAAGGCGGAGCCGTATCCACTATACCGCTTTCGTTATTGGTGCGCCCCTGTCTGAGAAGATAAAGAAGAAGAGAGGAGCACCAAAAGGAAGCGCAAAGGGCACACCCAACTCCCCTCTACGAGGAGTGCTGCTAAGCATCCTGGTAACTACGTAACTTTCCTAAGAGGAAACGACATCGACAAGATTCCAATTCTGCTTTTTTTATAGAAACTTAAAATAATAGAAAGTAGTTAACAAAAGTTGCAAAAATTCTCTAGAAACAGTTTCAAATGCATGAAATTCAGAAACTTTTCAATGGATCATGTTGTAGTGCCAATCACCATCAAGGATTTATTAGATCAGCTTAGTCCCACATGGAAAAAATGGATCCATACAAGTGAGCTCTTTCCATACAAGCTATCGATTTTTGCAAGTCTGATTTTACTGAATGGAGGTCGCTCAGCATTTATTATGAGCATTACCTGATAAGGCTATCAGTCTGACGTTGATGTGTGATAATCCCATTTCCGAAGGAACACCCGAACCAGCTGCTTCCGTTATAGGAAGCAGCTAAAAGATGTGAACACGTTGATGGACAACAAGGAGATATCATAGTAGTATACGGTTGATTACAGTCAAATACACTTTATATCACTGCAATTGTCGGGTCGCAACAGGGCACGCCATCGCGTTGTGATCATTTCTGAAAATTACGACCCCCCTAATTCCATACTAAAATACGACCCCCTTTTTGGGAGTTGGTACGACCCCCCTCCCAGCCCTCTGTCCTTCCTCATCGAACCGAGCCGTCGAGCGGGGGGGGGGGTCGTCAGAATTAAACTATCATTTTCAAGTGTCGGAAATAGTAGTGCGTCCGTGAACTGACCAAATACGACCCCCCTCCCAAAAATGACCAAGTACGACCCCCCCCCCTTTACAGTGAAACAAGAGAAATCAACTATCAAAAAAAATTTTTCTCTGACCAAATACGACCCCCCCTCGCGGTCAAATACGACCCCCTCCCCTTGTGATGATCACAACGATGGCGTACCCTGGGTCGCAATCAGCATCTTGCACCTACGGCGTTTCCATCATTGGTTGCTCTCTCCCTAAATCGATCTTTACCCGATCGCCACTGGTGTCTAAACCTATGTTTAGACGGTGGCTTTCTTGCATCGGTACAGAACAATGAGGTTGACTTCACGTTTATTGTTTCATCCGTTTACCGACATAGTGTAGATCAATCAACCCTCTGCTTGCGTCCGTCTTGTTGTTCGTTCGTTCGCTCGCTGCCTACGGTCGAAGCTAAAAGCCAAGCGCCTTGCTCCACGCTCCGTACCGCCCCTTCTCCGAACATCGTGATGAGTCACGATACTCCGGCCAGCGAGAAAAAAAAGGTGAAAAAAGGTAAACGTCAAACTGTGATATGACGGATAAGGCAGAGGTTTTACATGGTAAAAACATCACGCTACACATCAAAAACTACAAAATTCATCAATCAATCCAACGTAAGTGATTTAAGCAGTGAACTGGAGGTGTACCACTGTAGGCTCAGCCAACGGCAACAAGCGATCCGAGACAACGTTGATCAGTCTGGAGGTACGTAGCCGTTAGTGCGCGGGACGCGTTCTCACTGAAAAAAGTAATGATGAGCAGGGTGACGTTTCAATGACGCTCGGTCGGTTCTTTTTCTATTTTTACCGTTTTATCATCATCGCGTCGTGATCTTTTTCACTTCATGCGCGTCGTCTCGTATCGCTTGTTGTTTGAATATGAATATGAAATAAGCGAATTTGAAAAAAAAAGTTTTCCTTGAGTTTAAATGAAAAATGAAAGTGTTCGAAAAAAAAAGTTTGGTTTATGTTCGTTCGTGTTTGTTTTCTTTTTGTGGTTGTGTTTTCTCCAGGTCCGTGTCCTCACCATTCATTCATGGTATTGAAACGGACACATAACGGTATGATGGCGCGACATGTCCAGAAGCCTACGAGCCTGTTTACAGAAAAAGCATACGCTTCTCGGTTGACATGCCGTGGCCAGATGAGTGGCCGGGCCAAAACAGCGCTCGCAGCGATTGAGTTCGAGGAACCTGCGGCGACGCGAACTCAGAGAGGGAAACCTCGAACATGTGTTGGACCAATGATGCTCGTTACAAAAAAGACAATTGCTCGGCGGGAATGTTCGAATTATTGGAAATGTTCGACACGTTCGAAACAATAGGAACTTGAACTTGCGGTATGGAGATGGTCGCTGGCGGAGGTGCTAACGCCGTGGACGGGATCTGCGGTGCACCAACGGGCTGGAGTTGCATAGGTGCGGTGTAGCTGGCGGACGTGGATGGTTCTTCTTTGAAGGTGACTTGAGCCGCGACGTGAGATCGTTCTGGCTTAGCATTTGCCGTGAGTATGCAGTCTTCGAAGTGGTCGACCAAATAGTCTACGGAGCCCTAAATTAAGGTTAAGGCATTTATCTTGGGAAGTGAACATTAAAAGCTACCTTCATTTTTTTGCGCGAGATGTGAGTTTCTTTTTCAGCACGTTTGCGCTTGCGTTCTTGCTTAAATGTATGGTGTATGCAACTCGATAATGTTATGAAAAGTTCGAGAAATTTACCCGATGAAGTTTGATTTCCTTGCGTAGTTCGTTGATCTCCTGCCGGATCGTCGCCATTGCCGTTTGCATTATTTGCATCCCCGGACAAACGACTTGCGGAGGGGCGCACATCTGCGGAGGCACAAACAAAACCGGAGCTGCTGAGGGCATTTGTTGCGCAGTCACTCCTTGCACAAATGCCGTAGTTGGTGGCCGTGACGAGGGTGGATCCATTTGAGATGAACCTTGCTTCTCTTCTTCGGCAATTTTTAATTCGTCTTCGACGTCTTCTGTGTGGTCAACGCACATTTCGCTGTCTTGTTCGACGATGTCTTTGCGGTCGGACATCCTGAAATTGTGTTGTTTTGTTTTTTGAATATGGTCGCAATGCGTCTATAACGATACAAAATTGATAAAACGATAAAGCGACACAACAAGGGTTAAATGAGTTGCAAACAGCGAAGGATCAGTTGGAGCAAGAGGGTTGGTATGCGTAATACGAGGTGAAGGATTCGACGAATGACTTTGATAGCGAGAAGGAAAGGGAATGGTAAGCACAGTGTAATGTTTTGAGCTGCTGTCCTTTTCTTTGTGTGCTTGGGTTCGAGCTTGATCGTAGGACTGATAGGGAAAAGGCGAGGGCAGCTATGAGAATCGTCAGTGTGCAGAGAGAAAAGAAGAAATATCGACTGACGATTGCGAAGAAATGTTCTATATCGGGAAAATCCAAGTGAAGGTAGTTATTTGAGTTGGTACTACCATTGCTATTTATGGAGATAAGTCTATGGATCGGTAGAGATCCCCCTACAAAATGCAACTGGCCAGATATTGAAAAAATGTGCTCGGTTTTGCCACAGCGTGCCTGGCAAGTTTCCTTGAAATACGCTCTATTGGAGTAAAAACGAATTTCGTTCGTATGGCCTCGGGGGGAGCAGATTGCTACGAATGATTGTGACTCGCATGTGATTTCGCTTAAAACTTTTGGTATGTCAGAGGTGCATGTTATATATGTTATAGCTCCTCTTATGCAGTTGTAACATCCTTGAATGGACGCACTAGGTATGTCACATTTGAAATCGTCAACAGTCGTGAGTATGTTTGTTATGTTCAAGTCTAAATTTATGAGGAGTTCGGCCGACGCCTCTACTGTTCGTAGTGTTACTATAGCATCTTGCCCCTCTCCCTGGATGTGTGCATTTGGGAATTTGATGGGCAGAATTTGGTTTATAGCTAGTTTCGAAACGTTGTTGTGCGTGCAGTAGCAATTTATGCTGTCTTCTGCCGGTTTGCAGGAACACGTGTCACGTATAGAACATCGCGTTGTGTTCAAGTTGTTGGTGGGGTTGCCCGTATCCTCCCAGCATGCATAGCTGAAGCTATCGTGATGCTGTAGCTTGGCGAGGTAGCCCGGGCCTCGTATAAAGCGGTCCGACAAAACAGGCATATGTGCAGATTCAAGCATCGCAAGCTGTACGTTTGTTCGTCCTAACCGTTTTTGTACGTTTTGCTTGAGTTCGACGGTTTGGATAAAGGATCTGGCACCCCAGTTCATTTGTTCGAATGTTATGCTTGCTTTTTCATTCCATGTGGGGCAGTGAAACACTTCGTACACCGCATCATTGACTGGTACGTGGTACACTCTATAAAATAAGCAACCGGATGAGGGGAACCCGCACGAGCACCCAATACCTCCGCATGACTCCGTACAGTACGTAATTCCTATGTACTTATTTGCGGTCGCGAGCTCTTCCACTAGTGAGTTTGGGTGTATTTGTGCACATTTAAGGCCTGAGCAGGTCCCCATGTGAGGGCACCGTTTGCTGTGCTGAACTCGGGTTTCCGTGTCTCTTGTATAATAGAGTGTTTCTTTGTTGCATCTTTTAATGACCTCATTGAGTGT